GAATTTGTACAATGTATATTATCTCATGTTTCTATTTCTTTGTTTTATTCGGTCAGTTTTGTTCTATTATTATTATATTTATTATATATATATATATATATATAATGTTATTTCTTTTAATTATAAATACATAACAAGATAATAAATGTGTACTATTTCAAATATAGAAATTAATAATTTTAATACAGTTAAATAATTTTATATAAATTTTTCTAGATAAAATAACGCAAATTGTTTTTTAATTAATTTTAACTAAGTTCTTAATAGAATTTTAAGATGTATTATGATTGTTGGAGGATTAAAAGTTACGAAAATATTGAGGAAAGTTGCGATCAGATTTTTGTCTAACAGTATTGAAACTGATATATTAAAAAAATCAAAAACTTATAATCAATTTTTGTAATATTTATGTTATTTTGAATTTCAGTTTCTAATTAGAATTATACACCGTATTATATAGTATTATACGCGAATTATACACTGTATTATATAGTATTATATTAGAAACGCAAATTAAGTAGATTCGTTCCTTACTTTAGTATATTTTCAAGTCAGTCATATATATTTAGTGACACGGCAGCCGACGGCTTAAACCGATCATTCGCTAAAGGTCAACATTGATCACATCGTCTATAAGCGTGCCGTATTGTAGTTGCTGCGGACTTAAAAGTAAAGTGCTGTGCTTTACAGCTAAGGTGCTTACAAGTTCGGGGTATAATAAATGAAAGTATCGGCTGCCGTATGTAAGAGGTCATGTTAAAGATTGCGTACTTTTCGAGACATAAAGTTTCAAAGACGGCAAAGAATAATATTGCTGTTATAACATAAAATGATTCTAACGTTGCATCAATATGATGCGATGTGATATGATGTTATGTACTTACATGGAAAATTGATAATGGAAAAAAAAATTAAAAAATGTATGTGAAAAATTTTAAAGGGGAATTTCATGTAATCTTTGGGAAATTGCGTGAAATTCATTGATATAATTTTAAATTCTGAAAGAATTTCTTGAAAAGCATGTTCGAGAAATGGCGTCGTTTGATCGATGCCTGAAACTGTTCGCGACTGGGCTTGCTTCTAGAATGGCTGCTACGCGTCGTCATTACGAGGCACAAGAATGATGTCGAAGAAAGGGGTTAAGTACCGATCAAGTTGGGCGCTGTACGACGAAAATATCGAGAATGTGGAACATGTAAACCTTGATCTCGAGGCTCAGCGAGAACTAGGCTGTTTGGTTGGCGAACATGTGTTTCTGGAATATCCTTGGGCCTATGTATCGCGAGAAGCTGTTTTGAGGCTCACTAACATCATAAACTCGTCGTTGTTAGTGCCATGCCGAGATAGGATTGACATTTATAGTGGCGACACTTTCCTCGTGGGATATTCATCTACCGAATTAATCGGCCACGACTTCGTGATTTGTTTAACAGAAGATGCAAAATTAATGATAGAGAGGAGAAATGCTGACATCAGCAGGAGAATCCGAAGCGAGATTCTTCGAAAGATTAAAAAGACCGGCAGATTTTGGCAATCTCTCGGAAGCGAGACGGCACTAGATGAGAACTTGGTGAGAAGCACGAGAGAGTCTTTAGATGTAGAAATATGCTTTCCGATCAAGTCTTTACGTCTAAATCGGAAATTGTGCGATAGATCTTCGGAAGAATCTTGGGACAGTTATGTAGAATTAATTCCATACGAGAGATTCGAGAATGTCGAGAGAAAATATGTCTCGAAGATGATTCAAACGCACTTTGAGCTTCGAGAAATCGAAGTGCAAATCTATCCCGGTTATCCCAAAAACGCTTGGACTCAATATCTCTACGAGGATATTCTGCATACATATGTTGATAATACTGAATCAGAAAAAGAAGAAAAGGAGGAAAAGGCGGAGGAAAAGGAGTCGACCGAAGAGAAATCGCAAAAGGGGTCTGAAGAGAAAAAAGATACCGAAGAATCGAAAGAGGTGTCTGAAATTGAAACGGAACAGAAGTTGATAAAAAAGAGCCCATTGGAGCTCTTCTTAGAAGATCATGCACCAAAAATGATCGAAGCCGTGTGTTACAACACAGTTGTGAATGCACACGTGGATGACATAGAGACGCTTGCGCGGCAAGAGTTTGAAATAACTCGATCGCGAGACATGATCACTTGCGCGGAACGGTTCTCTCTTGTCGACTTGCGCTTCACGGCAGGCAAGATCATCTCCGATGTTTCCTGGCATCCAAATCTCGCCGATCATGTGGTCGTTTCATATATTACCGTACCGTCGCGCGAGATCACCCGATACTCGTCAGACATAGAGTGTGGCGTTGCTTCAAAAACGGAATCGACGGTATTACTATGGTCTCTCGTCGATTCTCTTTGTCCTCGGCTCTCATTGCGATGTCACCAAGAAATCTACTGCATCTCCTTCTGTCCGACAAACAGTGATTTTGTAATCGGCGGTTCCACGTCTGGCCAAGCGATCGTTTGGAATATTCACGAACAGCTAGGAAGACCGGCGGATATCGATTCTTGGACTCAGAATACCGTGTCAGTTATTTCTGCATCCGTGATATCTGATCAAAATTATTCACACGAGCTGCCGATTCACCGGATACAATGGCTGCCCGACAATTATAGGATAGAACCGTCTGGAAAATTGACGAAACTATCCACTCATTCGAGCTGTCAATTCTTGACAATTTCTGAGGATGGTATTGTCGCCACGTGGGATCTTCTTAAATACTCCGTTACTTCTCAGCTAAAGCCGAGCGATCGTAAGGATCTTAACGGTATTTTTCGACCGACGTATCGCTTAAGCGTTCGGTCTTCCGAAAACCCGTTTTTTACACCTCTTTGTTTGTGTCTTCCATCAGTTAGTGTTTTTCAAGAAAGCGACAGACGTTATAACGAGTTAAATTCCACAGACATAGATTACATGAAAAGATTGTGGATCGGCACGGCACAAGGACATTTCGTTTGCTGCAACTGGAAGGGCCAGATGTTTAATGTAGAAACAGTCGGTTTAGAGGAATGCAAACTCCTTCATTGCATTTCTGCGCACGACGGTCCCGTTGTAGCAATTCTCCGATCACCACATCTTTCGGATGTTCTTCTAACGATAGGCGGTCGTGTCTTTGCCATTTGGAAAGACGACTATTTGGATCTTCCTCTCTTCAGACGAAAATCCGATTACGTATACACCGCGTGTTGCTGGAGCAACCGGCCGGGAATCTTTATGATGGGTACTAGTTTGGGCGATTTGGAAATCTGGGATATCAGAAGAAAGACAAACGAGCCGATTTTCATGCAGACTATCTCCAGGAAACCGATAACACTTTTATCCCTTCAGGAATCACGCATGAATGGCTTTAAGCTAATTGGTGTCGGCGATAGCAACAGTGCTTTTCGTATTTTTGAAGAACCGACAGAATGTGAAGATGAAATACTCGAAAGAATGGATTGGTTTGAAGAGTATATATGGCGAGAAGTGAGAAGAAAAAAATGTTTTCTTCGTGGCAGAAAGATATCTTTCAAAATGATGTAACAGTCATCACTAGAAAACAAGCGAGAATAAATGAAGAGCACAAGTTGAAACTTGAAATGACAAGACTAAAACTCCATCGAGAACATGAAGAACGATTAAAGTTGGAGGCTGAAGAAGAAATACGTAAAATGCCAAAATCCAAAGACACTATATGGAAACTGCGTCAGCAAAAGAGGATAAAAAAAGCTCTTTTAGAAAAGAAAAAATTCGTACCACGAGAGCTGGAGGAGAAGAGACTGCTATTAGTTCGTTTAGCTGAGGAAAGGAACCAAAAGATGATCAAAGCAATAAACGAAACTGCATGTCGGGATAAGCATTTTGATAAATTTGTATCTCTCAAGTTTCCTGAATACTATGATGTTACAGAAAAAGATAAGATTTCAGAAGTGGAACCTGAGACGGAAAAGGATAAAGAAATGATAGAAATATATTTGCAAGAATTTTATAAAATTAAAGACGAAACGCGAAAAATGATAGCAGAAAAGCTGTATGCTCCAAAATTTGATTGGAACATTTGCATAAAGAAAGAGAAAGAAAGACTAGAAAAACTGAAGAACTGAAGTTCATAAATGCAACTACAAAAATTCTCTTGATACATTCTCTTATAAGGAGAACCACTATTTTGATTTTACTTTACGTTACATTGAATTGCAAACGTGAATTGATAAGATAAGATAGCTTAGACTGTCCAGAAAATTTCTTTGAGTAACGAATTGTATATATTGTACAAATTGTTTAAATTGTACAATGTACAATGTATTGAAATTATTGATTTTCAGAGAATGACATTATATGCATAATAAGATTAAATATTAAAAAAGTAGATATTAATGTATATTACAAAAGGAATAAATCGAATCTTTACAAAAAAAATTAGAAAACTATTCCGTCTAAAATAATATTGAAGCAGATTCTTTCATTTCTTTAATTCTACAATAATTAAATTGACTCAATTAAAATAATATAAGCGGTTAAAATTTTATTAATTTTTATTTTGACTTGTACTGTACTGTACTTTCAAGATATTTTATTTTAAATATAGTATTTATATTAGTATTTATATAGTCTTTCTTTTTACAAATATATGTAAAAGATTAGATTATCATAAATATTTTCTCTCAATTTAAGATATTCATATAGGATATTCATATAAGAAAATTTAAAACTATATTTATAATTATAAACAAAGCATTTTAAATTTTAAGCAAGTTTAACATAGAATATAAGAAAAATTTACACTTTTTGATGAACTAGTTAAAACAAGAATATTTGTCAAATATATAATGTGGATATAGCGATGCGTAATGTTGATTATAATAATACCAAATTAAAACAGTCATGATTTTGTGGATTTAGTTATATCAGAGCTGAGATTTAGTTGCACATTACATTATATTAATATTAATGATATTGATCAAAAATATATTTTATTATTTATTTAAAATTATCGTGTTTATGATATGATGCTCTTAAGATGAAGCGTCATACTATTTATGCGCATCCAGCTCGTTATGAGGAAACAAGGGGTAGCAAGTAGAGCAGTAGACGTCAACAATGAAATCAGCCCGAAATGTACAATTAAATCTCAGTTTTGAATTATATAATAAATATATAACGTGTAAAAAAATATATATAGGTTTTAATAAATAAAACTTGTTTTTTTATGTCAATGTAAATAATATATGACTTAAGAGCAAGTGTAACTTAACTTCTAACTCTGTTTCTCAAATCATGTTCATGTTCCGATCTCAAATAAACATCTTATAATTTTTATTTCATTATTTAAGAAAATTAATAATAATTATGCATACTTTTATAAATTAAATAAATAAACTCATTTCTGTTAATTTTGTTTCACTTTGTTAATTTTATTTTTATATTATTTTAAATGTTTCAAACAATTTTAAAGGTAAATTATTTATTGAGACTGAAGAATAGCTTAGAAATAAACTGTATTGACTAACAATAATATAAATAATATAAATAAGAACTTTTTAACCTTTTACATAATAAAGGTGTTTAATCATTTTCCAGGGCCTTGGTATAATATGTATGGCGTGCTCATCTCCGGCATATAAAAGTGCAACGCACTGGTTTCTGTTCGTAGCTGTAACGTCCTTCATAGCTACGCTTATATGGAGCATCATATATTTCCTGTCCCTCCGGGAGGTACTTAAAGTGCCCATAAATTGGATCCTAACTGTAAGTGCATATTATAGAAGAAATTACACTAAATGGAAAATGCGTCTTTCAAATCTTTTTTTTGGTCTATGCTGCATCATATATTTTTGGAAGTATTGTATTTTAATTGATCTAAGGATGTATTGGCGCTAACATTCTAACATTGACAATACGTTGGAAATTTAATCAATTGTTTCTATTTATTATCTGAATACATATCTAAAACCTGAGTCGATTCTCTAACTGGTTCATGAGTTATTTAATTTCTAATTTTGCATGAGTTCTTATGGAATAACAGTATATTTTCACCTATATCAACGAAATTATAAAAAAGCAACATTGCTAATATTCTGAAACTTTGGTTGTAAATGATTAAAATACTGAGCAATGTTTCTAAAAAAAGTTCATATCGATTTACTAACCGAGTATCGAGATATTAATAAGCAATATAAGCAACGCAAAACTCCGAAAATGAGCTATAACCATATTGCAAAATACACAAATATATTCAATTGTAATGCCAAATATCATATTAACTACCATTATTTAAGTCCTTTACACAATACAAACACATATGGTACATATTTTAATTTATAAAAACATAGAATTTCATCAATTTCAAATTTAAATAACTTTTTTCTGGGACTGTAGTCAGAACATGTGTAGTCAGAACATCCTTAAATTTTATCGAAAATTATGGATGACTTGACACAAATCTTTGCAGAATTGACATATATTTTTAAAAATATGACGTTATTTTAACATAATATTTTTAAATAAATTAATATTAAATAATATTAAATAATTAATATTTCTAAGTAAAAATTTTTTTACTTAATAACGTTATTTTTATTTATCACAAACACATGGATATTTACTGTTAAAATCAGTTTTAAAATGTAACACATGTACACACATTTGATTAAAATAATTATTCTTTCCAGGAGCTTTTAAATACATCTATAATAGCTGTGCTTTACATGATCGCATTCATCGCCCAGTTGTCAGCTTGGAGTGCATATAGAACTTCACCATCAACTTCATCGAATATTGCTGCTGGAGTAAGATTTGCTATTACAAAATTCTTATTGACTAAAAACAGTAATTATTAACATTAAAACACAATCAATATTGCTTGCAGGTATTTGGAATCTTCAATACCATTGCATATGCCGCCGGGGCTTACTTCCTATATGTTGAATGGAAGAGCACCAATACGCAATGAATTCTGTTGCATAGAGAGATTAAGTCAGGTACCTGAAGAGCATGCAACAACAGTAACAACAATAATATTGCCGTGACCAAACCCACAACTTTTCAGCGTTCGTCCGAGGAAATTTTGATCCTAAGATTGTACTCGACAGAAAAGTCAGCGCTGAGAGGAACGGTTTGAAACTAGTCCGGCGTGATTCTTCTCAGATTGTGTGTAATTTAAAAAAAGACTCTATTCCCTACGTGCCTTAAGATTACTTGTGATCGCTGTCATTAAAGCAAAACCCGATATTATATTGAGAAGGATCGACGAAATTACGAAGAGCGAATGGAGTGTTAAGATATTTGTCTAAAGGCAATAATATTACGCTAAAGTCTATGCGAGCTCGTTGAATTATTTTATTTGAATTAACAAAATAAAAGCGACGTCTAAAATTATTTTAAATTTAAATAAGTTTTTTTACATGAAAGTTTCAATAATTTTGTAACATGTAATATTTAAATATGTTAACTATATTTAATTTGTTAAGAAAGAAAAAAGAATATATATATATATATTTTCTTTCTTAACAAATTAAATATAACTAATATATTTAAATAACATATATTTATATGTGTATATATCACATATACATATATATGTATACACACATATACATATATTTAGATAAAGATATATAATACAGCGACATTAAATTTTGTGGCTAAAAATATTTAGCATTTAGTGCCCTACAAATATCATCTCTTTATCTTTATTATTTCACTTCAAATTTGTAATTTAGGATTCTTGTTTTATTATATAGATAACATATATCTTTATTGTATCTTATATTACATATATCTAAAATAATCTTCACTAAATTGCAAGCTGGCATTGTTTCGTTTATATTATCACTTCGATTGTATAATTCTTCGACAGACAATGAGATAAATAGTTTTAAAAGATCTTAATACATTAGCGTGCGGTAAGTTTCTGAAGGGCTATCAGATAAAAATAATCAAAAACCTCGGTGCTTTTTTTCTAGCTATTAGCTTTTAATATTGATGATTATCTTTGCCGGTAATTTTGGCAAGTGTTAATTCTCTTCTGATCCTAACGAATTAAC